TAAAAACCACAATGAATATATTTTGAAGCATTAAATATCCTCTAATAAATTTAAAATTTTAAAATCAAGTCAAATCTAAAATAAATTATAAATATCTTTATAATATTTTATATTATCAAATGAAATAGTGATAAATAACCTTATTAAAAATACTAGATGTCAACTTGTTAGTGTTAGCTTAGATATAAGTTTATATCACTAGTAACAAAATCGTGAAAACATTAGGGTTCAAAACAAACAATATATAACATGTTAGGCTAAATTATTACCGTCTTAATTTGTACATACATATATTTATTTTGAATATTTTTAAAGAATATTTTTAGTGAAAGGACACCAATTTATGATTTTTTTATTAGTTTTAATATATAGTCAAAATCATTAAAAATTATATATATAAAAAAAAGCATTTATTTCCTGTTTAAATACACTTGTATAAGAACTCATAATTACATTATCAAATATATACTTAGAAGAATTATAACTTAATATCCTTCTGTTTTATTATAACTTAACTAACATTAATATCCTTCCTTAATTTTGTTTTGTTTTTTAAAAGATTTCAATATCACTCTTTTGTGTGTGTATTAAAAAAAAACAATTAGGGCTGGCTTGATATATTTACCGCCGAAGTGTAATATCAAGAGGCGGACGGTGCGTGCTCAAATTTAATAAAAGAAACCGGAGGCTTCCTCTTCTCCTTCTCCTACTGTTGAGATTCACATTGCAAACGTGAATCTTATAAGTGTTTTTGAAATCAAATGTAGACTTCCATTCATAACATGTGTCCATGGTGTTCTTTTAACTAACATTATCTCTTGTCTCTTGTTTTTTTTTTATTATAAAATTATATAAAAAAATTCAAATAATACTCACTACACTTGCTTAGAAGTGGTTTTTTACTTGAAAATATATTAAAATAATTTTTTTATATTTTTAATATCATCATGTGAATAATAATAATAATAATATCAATTTGATATCTTTTTCAAGTTAAATATATTTTTAAAACGCACATGAACATTGTTTTAAATATAAAAATAATCGGGTTGTTATTAAAATTATTTTTTATTTGTCAATGTATTAATCTTGTTTTAAACATGCATTAAATACCATAAATAAATGCATTAATTTAGAAATCAATATATATAAAAATACAAGGGTAACGACCTCGGATGATATTCAAATATGGATAAATAACATTATTAATTTAGTTGTTTTTTTCTATATACCATGTTTCTTTCTATTTCCTCTGGTTTCATTTGTAACACAATTATTTTATTTCTCAATAAAGAACAATTCAAGAATCATCTCTTAAATAACTATTTTGTAATTAACACACTGTATTAATATATATATATATATAAAAACCATTCATTGGAGGGGTTAGGTGAACTTACTTCAGTACTTGCATTTGACATTAAAAAAACAAAACCGTGCCTGTATGTGAGTAATAATTAATTAATACTGTAAAATATATATTTAATAAGTGAATCGAGGGGAGAGTCCAATCCCGCTGTCCTAAGATAGCAGCTAGCAACGATGGTCGGTGGGCACTACATTGACAAAATCTATAATAATGATATCAGATCACAGCAGCAACTCCCAATTTAACGGCTTTAACGGATCAAACCTAGTCAAACTACCACTGTAGCGCGCGCGTATATATATATATATGTGTGTGTGTGTATGTATATGTGTGTATGTATATGTGTGTATGTATATGTATGTATATGTATATGTATATGTATATATTATTCACGGATTCTCGTTCTTATTGACGTTTCCATCTCTTTTTTTACACCAAAATTAATTCAACAAATTATTAAATTCAGTATTGATAGTATATATTCTTAATCACTCAACTTTCCGTATTTTAAAATTATTTAGGAAGATGGTTAAACCTATATATTTAAAAAATTTAAATTTTATTATTAAAATTTAATATGATTTATATAATTTAAATTATTTTAATACGATAATATTAAAAATAATCATAAAAAAATTATTAACATATATTTTAATAAAAAAATTATTTAAAAATTAATAACTACCACATTACCAAATATATTTTTAAACTCGAGGCTAACAAGCCAGATGTGATGTAATTGGGCTTCATGTCATAAGCGAACCATCAAATGTATCCTAATTTTATACTTTGGTATGAGGTTAGCAAGGTATCAATCAGATCATGTAAACTGCTTGATAATATATTGTATGAACAAGAAATTTCTTGCTCGAGATCCTTTGTTAATTTAAATTCGACACAGTATATATGTATATGTATATATAAAACATGGTAATTGAATTAAAAGATAAAATACACAGATGCGGATGCACGAAGAAGGCCCTAAGAAGCAGCATGCAGCCGTGTGTAAAATTCGAACCGTGTCATCTATTCAAATGTACCTAACGAAAAGTTAGGCCTAGTTCACCGAAGAAACTTGCTTGCATCGATCGCTTTCATTCACGCTCAAGCACTTCCGCACACAACCAATTCTACTTTTTCATCCTCCACAGCACATATATGGATATGGCATGAGTCGTGAAAATTGTGGCCCTTTTCCTTTCCTTTTTGTATGCATATATATGTGGACGGTCACGACACATGATCTCCAGCGTTCCTTCTCCTCCCTGCAATGTTGCATCCTCATCAATGACATCATTCGTTGTTTGAAGTTGTCATGTTGATATCACACAACGTTGGTAATGATGAGGCCTCCACATGCATCCATAAGAATCAATGGTCAACACAGCACGTACCATACAAAATGACGTGTTGGTGCTTAGTCTTCACAACACGTTCAAATCGCTTTCTAATACACAAAAAGCGGGAAGAATTACATGCGAATATATCTTGTAAGTTTTATTTTCATGGTTCTCCCTTGTGTTTTTTCCCTTTTCAAAATTAGGTCTTGAAGAAAAGTAATAGGATAACACTAGCTAGCTCGAACATTGCAAATAAAATCTTCTCATCGATCATGTATAGCTGCGTATGAATGAATAGGGTTCATATATATTGTTAATTGAAGTGAGTACTGTTGTGGCATTACAATATATGTGTTTTCTATTAATTTAGGGTTTGTTTACCATGTGATCATGATAGCAGCTCTCATAGCCGCAAAAGTTTACTAGCTTTTTGATTAGCAGCGGGAAAGGAAGAAGATACCAAGACTTTGCTAGCAACAAATTAATTACAAAGGCGATTCAACCGCTTCCATCTTCATTTGTTTTTGATTTGTTGAGCTAGTCACCATTCTACTCTCTTCTCTTTTCCCTTTTAATTTTAGCTATGGAAGGATCCCAAAACTTGAGAGCCAAACCGTGATTTTCGTAAGCTAAACCCAAACGCAAACTTATTGTCAAAAAAAAAAAAAAGAATTCAAACACACTCGGGGCCGCCGGCCACATAAAAGTCAAGAAACAAGTGGCTTAATTCCTTGTTCAAAACTTCGCTTTCAGTACTGTAAGATTTGGAATAGATCATGCACATGTAATTTGCCTACATGTGATCAATGTGACATGACACTCCTACAGCATAACCAGGCACCAAGATTTTATTAATTGATGCTCCTGTTAATTACTTCACTTCCTCATTATAATTAATTAAGCTCCCTCTACTAGTATGTTAATTATGATCTTTTAACTTAAATCATGTTTCATTTAGAAGTTATTTTTGTAAATAACTTACAGAAGTATGTTCGGTGAAAATAACTTTGACTCAGTCTTCTAATGGACATATATTTGATTTAACCCAAATATACTTATAACATTTCTTTGAATAATTAAAAATAACTTAAATCATTTTACAAAAATCATGGCGAACATAGCCTAAATATCCAGACCCAAAAAAATCAAACCGACTAAAAGTTCGATACACATCTCGTCCCCAATCCCCTTTTACTCGTTTCGGAAAGATATGAAGAGAAATCTTTCATCATCAAGTTCGGGGATCCCACACCAGTGAAAAATAGATTTTATTATATTTACAATTAACATTTGATATTTAATATCCAATAAATAACAAATATCAAATTCATATAAATGTTGGATTTTACCATAAATCTCATACACAGTTAAACATAAATAATGAAAATAAATAATATATATATATATATATATATATATATATAATCAGGTTTGGACCTTTCACAGATAAGGAGGCGTGTTCCCTGCCTCATCCTCATTTTCTTATCATGGTGAAAACGCTCAGGGTTTAAATGGGTAATTTATCATCTTTAATAATAAAAATACTTTAGTGGTTTTATCCCTGGTTATAAGACTCGACTCGGCGAGCAAATCAACATGATGACCTTCAATTAACTCACTTGACTTGTAATTTAAATCTCGAGTGGGGTTGACCTCGGGTTAGGTCTTATGACCATGGTTATTTTATTAACATGATAATTTAGCAATTTCACAAAGAATTTTATAATACAAAAATTATAACTTCAAAATACTTAAAGCAGTAGAGAAAATAAACGGAAAAAGAAAAGAGAAATTAACACTTTATCCCATCAAAAAACAATACGAATGATATCACTTATTCAAGAATTATTTTCTTAATTCTCTCTCTTATTTCTTAATTATACACACACTAGTTACAGCTTTAACATCCACCTCGCTTCATCGGAAATTGGATCGGGCTTAATAATATTGATTTCAATCTCCAAGAGAACTTGCCCAAGAGTGGCCCAAACTAATTGAATCACCAAAAGTCGTTAAAAATGATGGCTTTTTTTTTTTTCCCGCTTTGGACGGTCTCTCCTTTTGTATTATCAATGGAAGAGGCAAAGAGCAACGAAAGTGACACGGTACCTAAAGATCCACCACCACCTCAGACTCACTCCAGCAAGAGGAAGCTAAGCCGTGTGGACCTCACTAACTCCTCTTACTTCAAGAAACGAGCTGCTGTTCAACAACTTCGCCTCAAAGTCTTTCAGGTACTGTCTCTTCGTGTGTTTAGGTCGTTTGTTTTACAAGATTTTGGTGGATTTTTTAGTGGGTTTGTTTTGTTTTCCTTATAGCTTTTGTGGGTTCTGTTTTTAGTCGGTGTTCCGTGCAAGTTTTGACTTTTTGTTGTTTTCTTGGTGAGAAAACAATCCAGGAAACATAATGTGTTGCTTTTTTTTTTTTAATTAGGTTGTGCATTTACTTCTATCATGGGTGTTTTGCGTTGGGTTTTTTGTGTAAATCCTGGTCCGTTGAAGGAAAGAATTAAAGTTCAGTTAGTAGTGGCATATTAATCAGGGGTTTTAGGGCAGACTCATTAAAAGTGGGTTGTTTATTGTTGTGAAGGGGTTCCAGAAGCCGGAAGTTATACCAAAAACGGATGTTATGGTTTGTGTTGCTGGGGTTTCCGTTTGACGTACGTGTCAATGTGTTTTTATGTTGTTGGTTTTACTGGGTTCGAGTTCGTAGAGCTGATGAATTTTATAGCCAGGACACCCTCATCATTTGCGACTGCCTGTTTATTGTTTGACTGTGCTGACTTGGTCTGATAATTTCTCACATTACTGTCTCAAATTGATGCCAAGTATTTTAGGAAAATGTTAATGGTATTGATGCATTAGCGGTTCAAATAGAGAAAATAATACATCTTCGTTTCTTCATAGTTTATACATGTAGGGGTAATCAATGTCTAAGCAATTTTGCTACAGGCTCTTGAGGTTGTTTCTAACTCTTCGATGCAAAATGCTGGTATGATACATTAGGCTGTGAGATATTGCCAAATGGTCGAATCATGTAAAAATGCGCACATAAAACGCCCTCAGCCTTTCTTTTTTTTTATAACATCATCGTTGTTTTCTATCTTTCTGTGGTTCTCTACCTTAGGTTCTCCAGACACCTGGTTTTCGGGATTGCAAAGCAGCTCACGAACTTCGATCACGTGAGTCGTTTCTGCTTGTCTTGATTGGTGCTGTTCCTTCATCTGATATATAATAGCCAGATACTTTTTCTCATACCTGTAAGTTTTTGAAGCATATACTTGGTGATTGATTTGATATTCAACTTTCAGAATCGAAGCTCGTGATGGATTTATACAACCAGATGACCACAGCGGCGGGGCTTGGGAAGAATGCGGGAGGGAGACAATTACCAGATAGATGCCGGGATGGGGGAAAACAACAGCCCTCGCATATATCTGCAGAAACATTCACCTCGCGGATGAAGTTAGATGATGGCCTGAAGATCCGAGGAAGCTATGTTGTCGGCGGGTCAGTTTATGGTTGGAAATTCATTACATGGGCAGGTAGTAGACCAAATTATTACGGGGTGACAAAGGAATCGCGCAGAAATACCCACAAGAAGCCAGCAGTTGGTGGTTCCCATTGCAACTAGGGCACTAAGTAACAGTAGAAAGAAAATTTTGATGAGAGAAGCCACCATTATTGATGTTAGTGCAACATATACACAGAGCAGACCCGTTTATTTTGCTAATTGAGATAGGTAGAAACAGGTCTTTAGCGTTCGTATTTTGATGACATTGTTACTGAGACTTGCTGAGTTTCATGCTCTTGCAGAAATACGGGAGCGAAATATTCTTTAAACAATTTTATATTTAGGCTTCTATTGCCAATCACCGTAAAGCCTGGCTTTGTTTTAATACCAAGATATGCACCTCATTTTTCCATTATTCAGCATTTGGCAATCCCTTATAAGCCCTTCTTTGGGGATCCATAAACAATAAAAGGTAAGAAGATAAAAGATTGTAAATTTCGAGAGCAACTATTTCAATTTACTCTATACATTCAACAACTCTTTTCGGTGTCTGCAATTTGCAAGCCAAAATTGTGTGGGCAAAAGAGATGGAATTCAATGATCTTGACATTGCCAAGGTGAAAGAAAACAAAATAATTTATCTTAAGAGATGAAAACATATTTTCACTCATATGATGCCTTTAGAAATCATGGAAAATCATTATAGCATCGTCAAGCTTCATCCTCGAGGATTCCAGGAGAAATCTAACTTTTTTAAGTTTCTCATACTTCTCTTTCATCGGCCCATCAACTCCGAGATGTAAAATCTGAAAGAATTCGCCGGATCAACGTGATTAACACGAATGAGAAAAAAGGTTGAAGCTTTAATTGAATAGGAAGAGAAAAAAAGAGAGGCATCGTTAGTCGACACGTCTACAAGTGCATTTCAGTCAAAGAGGAGAAGGGGGCAAGTAAAGGTAGTTCTCAAACCTCCTTTTGCTGTTCTAGCTCGTATGCCACTCGAAGACTCAAGTTTAAGGCCGCATGGAACATATCATCCAATACGCGTTCCCTTAGGTTCATCATATTGACTTTCCACAACAAGAATTGTGTTGGTCCGGCGATTAATTTCTGCATTAAAAATGATAATGATCTTCATTATAAATACCTTAATGATCATCATCATAAACTAGTTACAAGCTGAAAGTCCAAATATTTTAAAACACTTTTTTTCGCGTAAATTACAATAACCCCCCTAAGATATCATGAGATTACAGTGACCACCCAAATTTTTCAAAAAATTACAAAAGCCACCTTTTGCTCCCCAAACACCTTTAATGTTAAGGGGAATAATTCAAAAATATTTACAGGTATTTTGTATACAGAAGGGAGTTTTTGTAATATTCAATTAAACTTATGGGTGGTTTTCTAATATCTTCAAGCTCTTGGGTGTCATCATAATTTCGTGATACTTGACAGGTTTTTTGTAATTTAAACCTTTTTAAGTAGACAGTTTAGCAAAGAGAATACACTCGTCAAAGAACAGGCAAAATCATATTTCAGTTCCAACAAAATATGATATCTTCATTTGCTAAGCAAAAGGAGAAACATGTAAAATTCATTTACCTCCATCTGCAAGTAGTCGCCCTGCCACATCTTAGAAAGGATGTTGGCTGTTTCCTTCTTTTCAAGGAATATTGAATCTGAAATCTAGAGAAATGATAACAAAATTGGAGTAAATGATAAACGGAACACATCATCCAAAAAAATTCAAACTACTGAAAAAGAGAAAAACAGAAGGAGAAAAATATTGTTGTTTTGTAGCTTAAAAGCAGTGATTTTTGGACTAGATTCTTGCAAACTTCAACCCACAGAGACATTAACCTATGGAGACATTAAATTGTCTGAAGCATGGGAAAAAGTGAAGCTCCAAATATTCCAGTTGCAAGATTTTTGTACTTTAGTATTGCAAACTTCAGCCTACTGAGACATTTAACCTCATTTCAAATATATGCTTATCTACAAATAAAAGGAAAGGAAATACGGCTCATTTAGTTAAAGTTTTCTACTAACAGCATGCTGATATTCTTAATTAGAATGCGATCTCTAAAAGTACCTCTAGAAGAAGCAAAAGAAAATAGCCTATCAACCTACATTAACCTTTGTGCAAATCCTAAAAACAAATAATGCTAAGCGGAGACATATGGGCCTCAACACTCTATAGTTGAGATTGAAAGATGAAGAGTGTGCTTGGCCATGCTGACAGCAGAACACAAATGGGATGGTTTTCGTGTAGCTCCAGAGGCCAATTGCTGCAGAATGGCTTTCCAGACCCCTATGTTTGCAGGTCCTAAATTGCTAAGGTTGTCAATCCAGCCCCAACAAGAGTGTGGGGTGTGACTGAAACCTAAGCATTGAGCAATGTAGGCAAGAGCAGTAACTAAACCATATGTAGAGCTAGATAACCATTTCCTCAAATTTACAGAGAGATCTGCTTCTCCTCAATACATGACCATGGTACACCTAAATAATAAATTCACAGGAAAGAAATATACAGATAATTCTCAATTTCAAGATTATTCATCTACACTGTAAACCAAGAAAGAAAGCCATGGTTTCCATCATATGACTATTGCAATGGAACTGAGAACATATCCATTAATTCAAACTTATCACCTTATCAGTCTCAAGTAAGCGGCCAGCCTTTGACAATAACCTGAACATTCTATAAGCATCCTTGCCATATTTTTTATACACAATTGACTCCACCTGCAGAGTAGAAAATGTAATTAGACACCTACTTCAACAAAGGAAGCATTGAATTCTAATATTTCTAAAGGATCACAGGTGAACAGACCTCGTCAGTTTGAGCTACTTCGATGGTATGTTTGAAATCTGTACAAGTACAATAAGTCACTAAAAGCCAAAATGAAGGAATGGAGTAGAAAAGAGAGAAATTATACCTATAATGTATGAATTGTCAACCACCCTCACAAATGGTGGAGAAGAACTCAACCCGACAAGGACAGATATAACATAATCTAAGGTCATATTACGGCCCTTTTCACTCTTAATCACCTCCGCATAAATGGAATTTTCTGATAAAGGAACTGCAAGACGCAATACATCATAAAAGCAAATGGGTAAGAGAGTTGCATGAAAAATGGTTTAGAGGAAAGGAATTAATTTCCTGTGTCTTTTTTCCTGACAATCCATTCACTGCATTGTGTCTATTTTCATTAGTTGAAATGTTTCTCATCACAATAAAGAAAGCAACGGGCATAAGAAGTATGTGATGTAGGATAAAAATGAAGAAATTACAATTTTAATTTCTTTCATGACATGAGTGCCTATCCCATTGAAAATCCAGTCAGAAAGCTAACCCACTAGTTGGATGATTTCTTTCCCT